AGGATAGTTAGCTGTTCTTGTTGAATTGATCCCTTTACCATTATGTAATGGCCTTCTTTGTCTCTTTTGATCTTTAATGGTTTAAAGTCTGTTTTATCAGAGACTAGTATTGCAACCCCTGCTTTGTTTTATTCTCCATTTGCTTGGTAAATCTTCCTCCATCCCTTTATTTTGAGCCTATGTATGTCTCTGCATGTGAGATGGGTCTCCTGAATACAGCAGACTGATGGATCTTGACTCTTTATCCAGTTTGCCAGTCTGTGTCTTTTAATTGGAGCATTTAGTCCATTTACATTTAAGGTTAAGATTGTTATGTGTGAACTTGATCCCGCCATTATGATATTAACTGGTTATTTTGCTCGTTAGTTGATGCAGTTTCTTCCTAGCCTTGACGGTCTTTACATTTTGGCATGTTTTTGCAATGGCTGGTACCGGTTGTTGCTTTCCATGTTTAGTGCTTCCTTCAGGGTCTCTTGTAAGACAGGCCTAGTGGTGACAAAATCTCTAAGCATTTGCTTATCTGTAAAGGATTTTATTTCTCCTTCACTTATGAAACTTAGTTTGGCTGGATATGAAATTCTGTGTTTAAAATTCTTTTCTTTAAGAATGTTGAATATTGGCCCCCACTCTCTTCTGGCTTGTAGAGTTTCTGCCGAGAGATCTGCTCTTAGTCTGATGGGCTTCCCTTTGTGGGTAACCCGACCTTTCTGTCTGGCTGCCCTTAAGATTTTTTCCTTCATTTCAACTTTGGTGAATCTGGCAATTATGTGTCTTGGAGTTGCTCTTCTTGAGGAGTATCTTTGTGGCATTCTCTGTATTTCCTGGATTTGAATGTTGGCCTGCCCTACTAGGTTGGGGAAGTTCTCCTGGATGATATCCTGAAGAGTGTTTTCCAACTTGGTTCCATTTTCCCCCTCACTTTCAGGCACCCCAATCAGACATAGATTTGGTCTTTTTACATAATCCCATACTTCTTGCAGACTTTGTTCATTTCTTTTTCTTCTTTTTTCTTTTGGTTTCTCTTCTCGCTTTATTTCATTCATTTGATCCTCAATTGCTGATACTCTTTCTTCCAGTTGATCGAGTCGGTTACTGAAGCTTGTGCATTTGTCACGTATTTCTCGTGTCATGGTTTTCATCTCTTTCATTTCGTTTATGACCTTCTCTGCATTAATTACTCTAGCCATCAATTCTTCCACTTTTTTTTCAAGATTTTTATTAGTTTCTTTGCGCTGGGTACATAATTCTTCCTTTAGCTCTGAGAAGTTTGATCAACTGAAGACTTCTTCTCTCATCTCGTCAAAGTCATTCTCCGTCCAGCTTTGATCCGTTGCTGGCAATGAGCTGTGCTCCTTTGCCGGGGGAGATGTGCTCTTATTTTTTGAATTTCCAGCTTTTCTGCCCTGCTTTTTCCCCATCTTTGTGGTTTTATGTGCCTCTGGTCTTTGATGATGGTGACGTACTGATGGGGTTTTTGTGTAGGTGTCCTTCCTGTTTGATAGTTTTCCTTCTAACAGTCAGGACCCTCAGCTGTAGGTCTGTTGGAGATTGCTTGGGGTCCACTCCAGACCCTGTTTGCCTGGGTATCAGCAGCAGAGGTTTCAGAAGGTAGAATATTGCTGAACAGTGAGTGTACCTGTCTGATTCTTGCTTTGGAAGCTTCCTCTCAGGGTGTATTCCACCCTGTGAGGTTGGGGTGTCAGACTGCCCCTAGTGAGAGATGTCTCCCAGTTAGGCTACTCAGGAGTCAGGGACCCACTTGAGCAGGCAGTCTGTCCCTTCTCAGATCTCAACCTCCGTGTTGGGAGATCCACTGCTCTCTTCAAAGCTGTGAGACAGAGTCATTTGCGTCTGCAGAGGTTTCTGCTGCTTTTGTTTACTGTGCCCTGTCCCCAGAGGTGGAGTCTACAGAGACAGGCAGGTTTCCTTGAGCTGCTGTGAGCTCCACCCAGTTCGAGCTTCCCAGGGCTTTGTTTACCTACTTAAGCCTCAGCAATGGCGGGCGCCCCTCCCCCAGCCTCGCTGCTGCCTTGCTGGTAGATCACAGACTGCTGTGCTAGCAATGAGGGACGCTCTGTGGGCATGGGACCCTCCGGGCCAGGTGTGGGATATAATCTCCTGGTGTGCCGTTACCTTAAAGCGCAGTATTGGGGTGGGAGGTACCCGATTTTCCAGGTGTTGTGTGTCTCAGTTCCCCTGCCTAGGAAAAGGGATTCCCTTCCCCCTTGTGCTTCCCAGGTGAGGCGATGCCTCACCCTGCTTCAGCTCTCGCTGGTGGGGCTGCAGCAGCTGACCAGCACCGATTGTCCGGCACTCCCTAGTGAGATGAACCTAGTACCTCAGTTGAAAATGCAGAAATCACTGGTCTTCTGTGTCGCTCACGCTGGGAGTTGGAGACTGGAGCTGTTCAATTTCGGCCATCTTACTCCACCCCCGAAAATTTTTATTTAAGTGCTATTGTAGATGCATTTTACAATATCTAACGTGTTGTGTTTTCTTTTGAAGTTAGTTCAAAATAGTTTCTAATTTTTCTTTTTATTATTTTTGGAACCAACCCAGGGTTGTTTGGATGTTATGTTACTTAATTTCCAATAGTTGAGTTGTTCCAGGTACATTTTTATTATTGAGTTTTAATTTGATTGTTTTTGGGTCAGGTAACATGTTTTGTGTGACCTAAATCCTTCTCAATCCTTTCATTAAGATATGATCTAGAATATAGTCTTTAAGTACTTCTGAAGAATTGTGTAAAGTCTACCACATTCTTGCCGACTTTCTGCCTCCTTATTCTACTACTTGAGTAAGGGGTTTAGAAATTTTAGACTATACAAATGGGCATTTTTCCATTTCTTTTGCAGTTCTATCTATTTTTGTATCATGTATTTTGAAGGGTTTACATTATTTTCTACAAAAATATTTAGGACTGTTATGTTTTCTTGATTAAGTGAACCCTTTGTCACTATAAAATGACCTTGTTTATTGCTGGTAATAATTTTGCTATGAAATGTACTTTGGTATTAATACAACCACTCTTCCTCAGTCTTCTTTTGTCACGTTGTAGTGTGGTGTGCCTTGTTTCATCTTTAACCAATTTTTGTCTTTATATTTAAAGTTTATTTCTTATAGGTGTTATACAGGTAGATCTTACTTTTATATCCATTCTGACAATCTGCCTTTGAGCAGAGGTTTTTCGATCAGTTTAATTTATAATGTAATTATTGATATGATAAAAATTGTCTGTCACCATGCTGTTTGATTTCTATTAGTCCCAGATCTTCTTTGCTTTGTTTTATTCTTTTTCTGCTTCCTTCAGACTAGTTTAGTAATTTGTATGATTTAGTTTTATATGTATATTTATAGGTATAAGGTTTTTTAGTTATTGATCTAGTTTTATATTTCTTTATGATTTAGTCATATCTTTTTGTCATATAAGTTTATTTGGTTATTAGATATAACTCTTTGCTTTGCTGTCTTAGTGGTTGTTTTAGGATATATAGTGTATGGATTTTCCTTATCACAACCCACCTTCAAGTAATATTATATCATAACATAGATGGTATAAGAAATTACAATCTTATATTTTCATTTCTTCACTTCCAGCCAGATACCAGCCTGGATCTGTGGGATTGTAGCTTTCATTAAGTTTAGAATATATTTAGCCAATTTTTCCTCAAACTTTTTTTCTGTCTCGCCTCCTACTTCTTTAGGGACTTATATATTATGTGCTGGGAGTTTGCTGATAGTTCTCTAGTGTCTCAAATTTATGAAACTTTTCTTTCTTCGTGGCAAATCAATCTATGCTCATATCTCCTCAGCATAGCTTTCATCTCCAGCATTGTAACTTGTATCTTTACAAGTGCAATTTAGTTTTTAAAAGTATCTTCTATTGCTCTACTTATCTTCTTGATTTTTATTGTAGAATAGAGTTGAGTTACTTATAAACAGCTTGATCCTTTTTCTTTTTTCTTTTTATGGTATGAGCTAACTCCCCACACCTGAGGCAAGACCTTTCAGACTATTCATTTTCCTGGGAAGTCTGAGTCTTCCCAGGCAAATCTATAAAAATAGGCACTCTTCTTGGTACTATGTAAGCACAGGTGTGATTTTCACTAACTTTATAAGTCCCCCTGACCTGGCTTGGTCTTAGGTGGTTTTCTGGCTCACATGCAATCTTCATTATTTTGCTAAATACTGGGAGGGGATTTCCAGGGGTTTCTTGCTTTCGCTTCTGTATCTCTCTCTCCTCCTCAGTATTCTGTTCGGTGTTGTCTGTCTCCTTTGGTTTTACCAGACTCTAAGCTTCAGCAATGTAACCAAGAGAGTCTGGTAGGTTCCACTTCAGTTTTTTCTTCCTGTGTCATGTCTTGGAATCTCTGTCAAGGCAGGAAGCTGAAACATTCATGAGGTTTGCTTTCCATTTTCTTTTTCTGTTTTTCAGGGATTATCATCTTCTTTGCCTAATGTCCACTGTCTAAAAAATTGTTTAGTGTATTTTGTGTGTTTTATTTTTAATTATTTTAGCTAAGAAGAAAAATCAACACCTGTAGTCCTCTTGTGGCTAGAGGCAGACTACACTAGAGCTTCAGCACATGCCACACACTGGCTAAAATGCTTTTCTTCCCCGCTTGCTCAACTACATCCTTTTCAGGCTTCGTTCCTCAGTGTAGCCATACATTCCTCAGGGGATTTTTCCAGGGCCTAGTATAGATCTTATTCTAAGCAATCTGTTTTCTTACAGTATCTATCTGAATTTACAATTGTAACTTTTCTGGGGCTTTGCTTTTTATTTTATATTTTATGTTTTAAGCTAAACAAGAGCAGAGTTTTGTTTTGTTTTGTTTTGTTTTTTCTGTTTAATCTGCAGAACGTAGTATAATGCCTTCCCCATGGTAGGCAATCAATATAAATTTGTTCAGTGTGTGAGTTATTGATTGTTAAAATATGCAGCCGTTTATATCCCAAAAGTACTAATACGTTTTATTTCTATCTCCTCCTTGAGACAGATTCAACTAGCCTATCAAAAATCTTGGATGCAGTTCCTTCTTGTGAAAGAGCACAGGAACTTAAAAAAGATCACTGTGAACAACTTACAACAAAACTGAAAAAAATGAAAAATAAATTTTGTGTACTACAAAAGGAACTATCAGAAGCAAAAGAAATAAAATCACAGTTAGAGAACCAAAAAGTTAAATGGGAACAAGAGCTCTGCAGTGTGAGGTATGACATCCTAGTTTTAAATAAATATTTCAATTATTTATACTAAAGGTATGTAGGATACTTTTTGTAAAAGCTGCCTTACCTTCTGAGGTTTAACTGGAGAGAAAAATCTCTGTCTTGTAGAGTGTCAAATTCTTTTAAATAATACAAGTTCTTAAATGTGAATACTTCTGCTGATAATTAAATGCATATTTATTTAAATCACAACTTTAATGGCTATATAGAAGGCCATTATTTGGAAATCCCATTACTTAACAAATTAATATTTTTGATTTTTAATTTTTTATATTATAAGTGCTGCAATGCATAACTGCATGTAAATCTTTTTTATCCTTTCTAATTATTGACTTGGAATAAATCCTTCAATATAAAAATATCTCGGGGGGGGCATGCCAAAGATGGCTGAATTGGAACAGCTCCAGCCTCCAGCTCCCAGTGTAAGTGACATAGAAGACAGGTGATTTCTGCATTTTCAACTGAGGTACCAGGTTCATCTCACTGGGTTGTGTCGGACACTTGACGCTGGTTTGTTGGTGCAGCGTGACCATCCAGAGCTGAAGCAGGGCAATGCATCACCTCACCTGGGAAGCACAAGGGGAAAGGGAATTTCTTTTCCTAGCCAAGGAAATTGAGACCCACAACACCTGGAAAATTGGGTAACTCCCACCCTAATACTGTGCTTTACCAAGGGTCTTAGCAAAAGGCACACCAGGAGATTATATCCTACACCTGGCCCAGAGGGTCCCACTGCCATGGAGCCTCCCTCATTGCTAGCACAGCAGTCTCAGATCTAACTGCAGGGTGCCAGCAGAGCTGTGGGAGGGCGCCCACCATTCTTGAGGCTTAAGTAGGTAAATAAAGCCACCAGGAAGCTGGAATTGGGTGGAGCCCACCACAGCTCAAGGAAGCCGGCCTGCTTCTGTAGACTCCTCCTCTGGGGACAGGGCATAGCTAAACAAAAAGCAGCAGAAACCTCTGCAGAGGTAAATGCCCCCGTCTGACAACTTTGAAGAGAGCAGTGGATCTCCCAACACCGAGGTTGAGATCTGAGAACGGACAGAATGCCAGCTCAAGTGGGTACCTGACCCCTGAGTAGCCTAAGGGGAGATATCCCCCACTAGGTGCAGACCAACACCTCACACCTCACACGGCAGGGTACACCCCTGAGATGAAGCTTCCAGAGCAAGTATCAGACAGCAACACTCGCTGTTCAGCAATATTCTATCTTCTGCTGCCTCCGCTGCTGATACCCAGGCAAACAGGGTCTGGAGTGGACCTCAAGCAAACTCCAACAGACCTACAGCTGAGGGTCCTGACTGTTAGAAGGAAAACTAACAAACAGAAAGGACACCCACACCAAAACCCCATCAGTACATCACCAACATCAAAGACCAAAGGCTGATAAAACCACAAAGATGGGGAAAAAGCAGTGCAGAAAAGCTGGAAATTCAAAAAATCAGAGTGCATCTCCCCCTCCAAAGGAACACAGCTCATTGACAGCAATGGAAAAAAGGTGGACGGAGAATGACTTTGATGAGTCAAGAGAAGAAGTCTTCAGTCGATCAAACTTCTCAGAGCTAAAGGAGGAACTACATAACGAGCGCAAAGAAACTAAAAACCTTGAAAAAAGATTTAATGAATGCATAACTAGAATAACAAATGTAGAGAAATCCTTAAGAGAATGACAGAGATGAAAACCATAACACGGGAACTATGTGACAAATGCACAAGCTTCAGTAACCGACTCAATCAACTGGAAGAAAGAGTATCAGCGATTGAAGATCAAATGAATGAAATGAAGTGAGAAGAGATGTGTAGATAAAAAAGAGAAAAAGAAATGAACAAAGCCTCCAAGTAATATGAGATTATGTGAAAAGACCAAATCTACGTCTGATTGGTGTGCCTGAAAGTGACGGGGAAAATGGAACCAAGTTGGAAAACACTCTACAGGATATCATCCAGGAGAACTTCCCCAACCTAGTAAGGCAGGCCAACATTCAAATCCAGGAAATATAAAGAACTCCACAAAGATACACCTCGGGAAGAATAACTTTAAGACACATAATTGTCAGATTCACCAAAGTTGAAATGAAGAAAAAAATGTTAAGGGCAGCCAGAGAGAAAGGTCGGGTTACCCACAAAGGGAAGCCCATCAGACGAACAGCAGATCTCTCGGCAGAAACTCTACAAGCCAGAAGAGAGTGGGGGCCAATATTCAACATTCTTAAAGAAAAGAATTTTCAACCCAGAATCTCATATCCAGCCAAACTAAGTTTCATAAGTGAAGGAGAAATAAAATCCTTTACAGATAGGCAGATACTTAGAGATTTTGTCACCACCAGGCCTGCCTTACAAGAGACCCTGAAGGAAGCACTAAACATGGAAAGGAACAACAGGTACCAGTCATTACAAAACATGTCAAAATGTAAAGTCCATCAATGCTAGGACGGAACTGCATCAACTAGTGAGCAAAATAAGCAGCTAATATCATAATGACAGGATCAAGTTCACACAAAACCATATTAACCTTAAATGTAAATGGACTAAATGATCCAATTAAAAGGCACGGACTGGCAAACTGGATAAAAAGTCAAGACCCATCAGTTTGCTGTATTCAGGAGACCCATCTCACATGCAGAGACATACATAGGCTCAAAATAAAGGGATGGAGGAAGATCTACCAAGCAATTGGAAAACCAAAAAAAAAAAAAAAAAAAAGCGGGGGTTGCAATGCTACTGTCTAATAAAACAGACTTTAAAGCATCAAAGATCGAAGGAGACAAAGAAGGCCATTACATAATGGTAAAGGGATCAATTAATCAGGAAGAGCTAACTATCCTAAATATATATGCACCCAATACAGGAGAACCCAGATTCATCAAGCAAGTCCTTAGAGACTTATAAAGAGACTTAGACTCCCATACAAAAATAATGGGAGGATTTAACACCCCACTGTGAACGTTAGATGGATCAATTAAAGAGAAAGTAAACAAGGATATCTAGGAATTGAACTCAATTCTGCACCAAACGGACCTAATAGACATCTACAGAACTCTCCACCCCAAATCAACAGAATGTATATTCTACTCAGCACAACATTGCACTTATTCCAAATTTGGCCACATAGTTGGAAGTAAAGCATTCCTCAGCAAATATAAAAGAACAGAAATTATAACAAACTGTCTCTCAGACCACAGTGCAATCAAACTACATCTCAGGACTAAGAAACTCAATCAAAACCACTCAACTACACGTAAACTGGACAACCTGCTCCTGAACGACTACTGGGTACATAACTAAATGAAGGCAGAAATAAAGATGTTCTTTAAAACCAATGAGAACAAAGATACAACATACCAGAATCTCTGGGACACATTTAAAGCAGTATGTAGAGGGAAATTTATAGCACTAAATGCCCACAAGAGAAAGCAGGAAAGATCTAAAATTGACACTCTAACATCACAATTAAAAGAACTCGAGAAGCAAGAGCAAACACATTCAAAAGCTAGCAGAAGGCAAGAAATAACTAAGATCAGAGCAGAACGGAAGGAGATAGAGACACAAAAAACCCTCCAAAAAATAAATGAATCCAGGAGTAGGTTTTTTGAAAAGATCAACAAAATTGATAGACCGCTAGCAAGACTAACAAAGAAGAAAAGAGAGAAGAATCAAATAGACACAATAAAAAATGAAAAAGGAGATATCAACACCAACCCCACAGAAATAGAAACTACTATCAGAGAATACTATAAACACCTCTACACAAATAAACTAGGAAACCTAGAAGAAATGGATAATTTCCTGGACACTTACACTCTCCCAAGACTAAACCAGGAAGAAGTTGAATCCCTGAATTGACCAATAGCTGGCTGTGAAATTGAGGCAATAATTAATACCTTACCAACCAAAAAAAGTCCAGGACCAGAAGAATTCACAGCCAAATTCAACCAGAGGTACAACGAGGAGTTGGTACCATTCCTTCTGAAACTATTCCAATCAATAGAAAAACAGGGAATCCTCCCTAACTCTTTTTATGAGGCCAACATCATCCTGATATCAAAGCCTTACAGAGATACAACAGAAAAAGAGAATTTTAGACCAATATCCCTGATGAACATCGATGCAAAAATCCTCAATAAAATCTTGGAAAACCGAATTCAACAGCACATCAAAAAGCTTATCCACCATGATCAAGTGGGCTTCATCCCTGGGATGCAAGGCTGGTTCAACACACGCAAATCAATAAATATAATCCAGCATATAAATAGAACCAAAGACAAAAACCACATATTTATCTCAATAGATGCAGAAAAGGCCTTTGATAAAATTCAACAGCCCTTCATGATAAAAACTCTCAATAAAATTGGTATTGATGGAACATATCTCAAAATAATAAGAGCTGTTTATGACAAACCCACAGCCAATATCATACTGAATGGGCAAAAACTGGAAGCATTCCCTTTGAAAACTGGCACAAGACAGGGATGCCCTCTCTCACGACTCATATTCAACATAGTGTTGGAAGTTCTGGTTAGGGCAATCAGGCAAGAGAAAGAAATCAAGGGTATTCAGTTAGGAGAAGAAGAAGTCAAATTATCCCTGTTTGCAGATGACATGATTGTATATTTAGAAAACCCCATTGTCTCAGCCCAAAATCTCCTTAAGCTGATAAGAAACTTCAGCAAAGTCTCAGGATACAAAATCAATATGCAAATATCACAAGCATTCTTATACACCAGTAACAGACAAACAGAGAGCCAAATCAGGAATGAACTCCCATTCACAATTGCTTCAAAGAAAATAAAATACCTAGGAATCCAACTTACAAGGGATATAAAGGACCTCTTCAAGGAGAACTACAAACCACTGCTCAGTGAAATAAAAGAGGATGCCAACAAATGGAAGAACATACCATGCTCATGGATAGGAAGAATCAATATCATGAAAATGGCCATACTGCCCAAGGTAATTCATAGATTCAATGCTATCCCCATTAAGCTACCAATGACTTTCTTCACGGAATTGGAAAAAACTGCTTTAAAGTTCATATGGAACCAAAAGACCCCGCATTGCCAAGACAATCCTAAGTCAAAAGAAAAAGGCTGGAGGCATCACACTACCTGACTTCAAACTATACTATATGGCTCCAGTAACCAAAACAGCATGGTACTGGTACCAAAACAGAGACATAGATCAATGGCACAGAACAGAGCACTCAGAAATAATACCACACATCTACAGTCATCTGATCTTTGACAGATCTGACAAAAACAAGAAATGGGGAAAGGATTCCCTATTTAATAAATGTACTGGGAAAATTGGCTACCCATAAGTAGAAAGCTGAAACTGAATCCTTTTCTTACACCTTATACGATCATTAAAATGTCAGAAAACAACGGGTGCTGGAGAGGATGTGGAGAAATAGGAACACTTTTACACTCTTGGTGGGACTATAAACTAATTCAACCATTGTGGAAAACAGTTTGGCAATTCCTCAAAGATCTAGAACTAGAAATACCATTTGACCCAGCCATCCCATTATTGGGGATATACCCAAAGGATTATAAATCATGCTGCTATAAAGGCACATGCACATGTATATTTATTGTGGCACTATTCACAATAGCAAAGACTTAGAGTCAACCCAAATGTCCATCAGTGATAGACTGGATTAAGAAAATGTGGCACATATACACCATGGAATACTATGTAGCCATAAAAAACGATGAGTTTGTGTCCTTTGTAGGGACATGGATGCAGCTGGAAGCCATCATTCTCAGCAAACTATCACAAGAACAGAAAACCAAATACCGCATGTTCTCACTCATAAGTGGGAAGTGAACAATGAGATCACTTGGACACAGGATGGGGAACATCACACACCAGGTCCTATTGTGAGGAGGGGGTAGGGGGGAGGGATAGCATTAGGAGATATACCTAATGTAAATGATGAGTTAATGAGTGCAGCACACAAACATGGCACATGTGTACATATGTAACAAACCTGCACGTTGTGCACATGTACCCTAGAACTTAAATTATAAAAAAAAAATTGGTTAAATTATAGCAAGTTTTTAAAAAGTTCTTTGTTCATTACTTCTTAATTTTTCTCAAGAAAATTTATATTCATTTACAGTTCAACAAAGAGATTATGAAATTGCCATTCTTCTCTCCCCAAGAATCAATTTCTTTTAATTATACACTTTTAATCTTAATGTGCATGGAATATAAAGAAAATATAGAGTAATTTATGATTAGTTTATTCAACATCTCTTGCTCTCCTACATAAATAAAATTAATTAAGAATTTTATGTTAAAAATACATATTATTTTTATTCTTTAATTAAATATTATATTCTTTTTTGTTCTAAAAGAGATTTAAAATTTGTTGAAAAATATATAATAATCAACAAGACATGTTTAAAGTATTACTCAAAAAGGAAACAAAAGGCATTTGGAATAACATATTACACTGTTTAACCTAGTCTGAGATTTTAGTATTAAAATTATTTTTAGTGATACCATATATTATAAGTAGCAATATTTATGTCTAATAAATCTGTAAACTTTTTTTATAAAAAGTAATGTCACTGTAATCAGTTAGTTCTAAATGATCTGTCCTCATTGAGGAGGAATTTTCACTGTGTTATATTTTTAAAAAATAATTTTCAACTCATAAATGTACCAAATGGCTTCCAATATTCTTTTCCATAACAGTCATCAAAGCTACTAAAAACAGAAACTTTCTAACTAGAACATGTTTTTTCTCACTATTTTTCAAGTATGTATGTCATTTGGAAGATGTTAGAGTAATAAATACCTGAGAACTAGAAAGAAAAAAATTCAGGAATATAGAAATTTTATTGGAATAATAAACCAGTATAGGAAGAAGTAGATCTCAAAGTGAATTCTATTTTCTAACAAAATGAAGGTTAAGATAAGTATGTTTAATGGCAGATTGACTTTAAATCAAGAAGAAGAGGAGAGAAGAAATGTCGAGATATTAAATGAAAAAATTAGGGAAGAATTAAGAAGACTCAAAGAGCAACATAGGAACGAGTTAGAAGTGAAACAACTTTCACAGGCTCTCAGAATACAAGATATGGAATTGAAGAGTGTAACAAGTAATTTGAATCAGGTGAATCAATTTCTGGCAAAAAAATTATATTTCTAACTTTATTTCATCAGTATTACTTTTAATATCCCTTTGATTTAGTATGTATTATTCAGGTCCTGAAGGAAAATATTGTCTTAAAATTAACTATGAGATTTGTAGCTACAGTTATTTGTTAGAAATTATGGCATCCAAAGAGTATCTTATTTCAGTACAAAGAGCTTTTGTCAGGAAACAACAGGTGCTGGAGAGGATGTGGAGAAATAGGAACACTTTTACACTGTTGGTGGGATTGTAAACTAGTTCAACCATTATGGAAAACAGTATGGCGATTCCTCAAGGATCTAGAACTAGATGTACCATACGACCCAGCCATCCCATTACTGGGTATACACCCAAAGGATTATAAATCATGCTGCTATAAAGACACATGCACATGTATGTTTATTGCAGCACTATTCACAATAGCAAAGACTTGGTGTCAACCCAAATGTTCATCAGTGACAGATTGGATTAAGAAAATGAGGCACATATACACCATGGAATACTACGCAGCCATAAAAAAGGATGAGTTTGTGTCCTTTGTAGGGACATGGATGCAGCTGGAAACCATCATTCTTAGCAAACTATCACAAGAACAGAAAACCAAACACCGCATGTTCTCACTCATAGGTAGGAACTGAACAATGAGATCACTTGGACTCGGGAAGGGGAACATCACACACCGGGGCCTATCATGGGGAGGGGGGAGGGGGGAGGGATTGCATTGGCAGTTATACCTGATGTAAATGACGAGTTGATGGGTGCTGACGAGTTGATGGGTGCAGCACAGCAACATGGCACAAGTATACATATGTAACAAACCTGCACGTTATGCACATGTACCCTAGAACTTAAAGTGTAATAATAAAAAAAAAAAAAAAAAAAAAAAGAAAAAAGAAAATAATGATAATCCCTACCATATACTTAGTGATAATTTATTGGTAAGAATTTTGTTCCTAGCAACATAGTTTAGTGTGTTTTTCCAAGTTAACATTTAATACTGACTCAAACATTATCAAGAGGCAAAAGTTATTGTCATAGTAAATAAGCTCATAGTATTCTAAGTAGGGCTCTCTAGATTGTATCTTCTTTACCACTTTTGTTTTGAAATAGAAGACTTCTTTTGTATTTACATATTTGCCCAGTAAAATTAACTGAGATTTGGTGAAGAAGTCCTGGATGCAGACTCAGAAGGCTTGGAGAAAATCCTACAACTTATTTATATTTTTAATCTTTTCCTTGCCGAATTGTGAAAACTAAAAGTGCTTGTTACAATGTCTCAACTTATCAAATATTCATAAATATAATTCTTAAAATTAACTATGTTTTTTAAAAAATAAAATATCTAGAGAATATTCTCAGGAAAAAGGAACTGAAAAAGCTTCCAGAAATTGTATCTGTCTAAATATATGCAGCACTAAGTCTCTTAGTATGGGATCTTGTATAAGTTAGACATCAGAGTATAAACCCAATTTTCATATGTAGTCAAACTGATTAATCTTTTATTTTATACTTTTGAGCTTGTTGTAATTCAGGGAAAGTTTTTTTTTTTTTTCCAATTCTGAGGCTCTTAAAAATTCTCTAGTCATTTCTTTTTTACTGTCATGAATTCATTGTCTCCAAATAAATGTTTGAACTTTGGGGAATTCATGCTGTATAGTATTTGAGGTTTTGATTCAATGGTTCTTCAACCAATACCTATTTATAAAAGCCCTTTCATTATATGAAGGTACAAGTTATTCTTTAATTTCAGAGGAACTATGATATGCCATTTTATTGAGTGCTAGGTAAAAGTTTATTTTATTTTATTTAGGTTTCTCACCCTTGTGAAAATGGCAATGATCTCTTTCATGAAAATTGCATGTTGAAAAAGGAAATTGCAATGCTAAAACTGGAAATAGACACACTAAAACATCAACACCAGGAGAAGGAAAATAAATACTTTGAGGACCTTAAGATTTTACAAGAAAAGAATGCTGACCTTCAAATGACCCTAAAACTGAAAGAGAAAACGTTAACAAAAAGGGCATCTCAGTATAGTGGGCAGCCTAAAGTTCTGATAGCAGAGAATGCAATGCTGACTTCTAAATTGAAGGAAAAACAAGACAAAGAAATACTGGAGACAGAAATTGAATCATAGCATCCTAGACTGGCTTCTGCTTTGCAAGACCATGATCAAAGTGCGACATCAAGAAAAAAACAAGAACTTGCTTTCCACAGTGCAGGAGATACTCATTTGCAAGGAAAAATGAATGTTGATGTGCGTAATACAATATATAACAATGAGATGCTCCATCAACCACTTTGTGAAGCTCAAAGGAAATCCAAAAGCCTAAAATTTAATCTCAATTATGCAGGAGATGCTCTGAGGGAAAATACATTGGTTTCAGAACATGCACAAAGAGACTGTCGTGAAACACAGTGTCAAATGAAGAAAGCTGAACACATGTATCAAAACAAACAAGATAATGTGGACAAACACACTAAACAGCAGCAGTCTCGGGAGCAGACATTATTTCAACTACAAAGCAAAAATATGTGGCTTCGACAGCAATTAGCTCATGCACTTAAGAAAGCTAACGAAAGCAAGATAACAATTAATATTAATTTTTGTGAGAAGAAAATGCAACATCATCTCCTAAAAGAGAAAAATGAGGAGGATTTAATTACGGTAACCATTTAAAAGAATGTACAGATCAATGTGAAAAAGAGAAAGCAGAAACAGAAGTAAGTATCAAAAAATGTAAATACTTTTCAACCTTCCTGAAAGAAAATGGCCTTGGCTAAATGCTGAATCTAGTTGCATATATATATGTATAAATAGATGATAAATGTACTTACTATATCAGCTTAGAAACATGCCTCATTTCCACCAAATGAAAGTGAAAGCTGAGAGACGTTTTACTTTGAGTAAAAACATTGTGTCACTGATGAACTTTTAAGAGTTTAAGTTAAAGATTTTTAATAGATTAACATTAATGACATTGGTTTATACCGCTGAAATAAAGTTTTTAATGTCTCTTTGTGGCCACATTTTTTTTTTTTTTTTTTTTTTTTTGAGACGGAGTCTCGCTCTGTCACCCAGGCTGGAGTGCAGTGGCCGGATCTCAGCTCACTGCAAGCTCCGCCTCCCGGGTTCACGCCATTCTCCTGCCTCTGCCTCCCGAGTAGCTGGAACTACAGGCGCCCGCCACCTCACCCGGCTAATGTTTTGTATTTTTTAGTAGAGATGGGGTTTCACCATGTTAGCCAGCATGGTCTCGATCTCCTGACCGTGTGATCCGCCCATCTCGGCCTCCCAAAGTGCTGGGATTACAGGCTTGAGCCACCGCACCCGGCCTGTGGCCACATTTTATGACCACAATGAAGCAGATAAATGGGAATGCCCATATCAGCAATTAGTATTTTGAAATTAAGATTCAATTCAGCAATTTACTTTGACAGTTAATTCTAAATTTTCCAGAGGAATTGAAGTGTATTTGAAGTATATTTTGAAGTGTACATTTCTGCATCCTGTAATAAAACTTTTTAGTACCTTTCTATATATTTTAGTTGGTAGAATTTTATTTTCATTTATGTCAATTTGACTTAATCTGAACATATTTGAATCTCAAATTATGTATTGTTATAACCTCTCAATTTTTTAAAGGCATCTGCGTTTTGTTAAATAATATCTTAGGACAAATGTAGTGGATTTTAGCAATATCAAATTTGATTTAATCACCCCGCTGGTATTTATAATTTATTTTGAATATCTTTACAAATAATTTGCTCATAATTTCTATTTCAAGGCTCAGAGATGTGAATAGAACTTTGTCCCAGAGAAAGATCATTGTGGCTATCTGTGATTTATTAGCTTTGCCTTAGATCCCCATTTTTCAACTCATGAGAGGTGGCAGGGTTCATGTATAGTACATAAGAAGTGAGTAGAGGAGAGAAACATAGCAGCTGAGGTCAGAAGGGATGTGGAGACCAGTTACCTAGGGCCTCTAAAGCCTTTAAAATAAAAATACTTTTACTCTGAGATAAAAATGTATTGGAAACATTTCAAATACAGAAGGAAAGAATTCCACTGCGTAGAATTTACCACCGCTAGTCCCGCCCTTTTTTTTTTTTTTCTTTTTGGACTTCAGTAAGTTGTGTAGCATTACAGATTCATTAAGGGACAAATTACCAGTGGGATGAATCTCTTGAGTAGTACAACAGTACCAATTTGGCAGGAAGATAATACCTTCTTGTGTCCTTAAGTAAATTCACTAACAAGCAGCAATGTGTACAAATGAAGAAAATAAGGTGAATCAATATATTTGGGGATGTTTTTGAAAGTAAATATTGTTAATTTGATAAGATGATTTACAAAATCAATAACAAGTATGTCTTGTCAGGTCTTTGTGAGACAAAAAAAATTGACTGATCTCAATAAACTGTGTGTGTGTCTGAGGCTTCACTAGAGGTTACATCACATTCTTACTCTCTGAGACGTCAATAGAGGCTATATCACGTTATCACATTAATCTCAAAGATGAGATACAGAATTTAATGAAGAAATGATTCAAATCAAAAATCAAGTATGTATTAAATGTAATATGCCAACAATGAATCTATAGCTGGTTAAATAATATAAATTGTTTTATGATACTAATTTCCATGGGAAGACTTCTTTTATATGTTCATTATAATTAGTTTTATTACAATTTCATTATCCTTATAATGTGCTTATTTTTAAAACTGTGGCTGTCATTCTGCAATGTTTTTCTTACAATTACATATTTTTTTCTCATAATATTTACCCTTAAGAAGTTTAAGAATTATACATCATTTATCCCACCGGTTGAGAGACTATTCTTCAAATAAAGAGTATTTTTCAGTGATTTATGTTGCCATGGTGAGGCAAGCCATATTTAATCAGAGAAGAATGTTTAATGGAATATTCCAGAAAATTATCTTATTTCTTAGCTCCACTTTTGTGAATGGATGCCAATGACATGATACTATTTTCCAAAATGCAAATGTTTAGGTTAATATACACAGTATTTGAATAGCTAGGCAATTCTTTTGTTTTTTCTTTTTAATTATATTGTATAAACATATATTTAGATCATGTATAGTATGTATATTCAAAATAGAAAATGAAATTATCTTGATACTGCCAATGGATGTTTAAAAAGGAACTTTATTGGGATAAAATTCACATATCATACAGTTCACACATTTAAATTATACAACTCAATGTCTCTTAATATATTCACAAAGTTGTATAACCACCACAATAATTTTCAGAACATTTTCATCACCCTAAAGGGAAACTTCACATCTTAGTCATCACCACAACCCACCTCCATGTTTCTTCACCTTCCCCAGTCCTAAGCAACCATGATCTAATGTTTTTCATGAAGCTTTCTCTGACTGTTCTGACTCTCATTGACCTTGTGCTTCAGGATGTGTTTTCTAGTTGTTGCAGAACAATTTAACCTTCAGTTGTACATTGCTTTATTTTTTCATGAGACATAATCATGTTTTATTATGAATTTGCCTAAGCAGGGAACAATATCTGACATACATGCTACCTGTTACAGTATAAATTGAAAATTTTCTATCTTACCAGTTGTTAAAACACAATTAAATATATTGTACTGATTATTTTTTCAGACATTGACATAATAAAGTTTTATTTGAAATATATTTTAATCAATACAAAACAGAAACCACTCTAATAGAGAATTGTTCTAATCAATACTCATGTTTTTTCTGACTATTGAGAAAAATTATGTCTGCATTTAAAAAGTTTCAGATTTTTGAAGCTTCAGATTTTAGAATAAGGATTTTCAACCCACAGTACAGGGTCTTCTCAGTTTACAGTGGCGTTACATCTTGATAAACGCATTATAAGTTGAGAATATTGAGAACAAGAAACATAGACAACACATAAACTTTATCTAAAGAAAAATGGTTAATAGAAAAAAAATCAAAAAGCTATAAAACAATACTTACAGAGAATGAGCGTAGTTACCTCATCCGGAAGTTAGGTTAGAATCAGAAATGTTATGGGGACCAAATGAGAGCTTTCAAAAAATTATCTTAGGTAGATATCAATGAACAAACCTGGCATATTGTGAACTATTGATGGCAATGCTTTGAGGGCATCTTTGGAAACCAAAATATAAATATAACTACTTATTTTTTCACTTATTGTTAGCATTTAGTATTTTATGCATAAAAACTTCTTTACCAAATAAATTTTGGCAGTTTAAATTCTACAAATGATACTGATGAGAGTATAAATCATTTTGGGTTGTTTTTTAAAAAGTTATGTTTTTCAATCTGTCATTATTGGAATAAAGTGTATAAACTGCATGTTATAAAATGGTTTACACACATATAACTCATGAACTCAAGAGAAATATTTTTAGGAAAGGAGAGTGTCTTTAGATTTTTAATAATAATTTTCTTTAATTTCTTTAAAAGACTGAAGATAGAAAAGAGAAATTAAACCAATGTATTGACTTCACGCAATCTCTGGAGCATAATTTTGATCAATAAATAAAGAAAAAAATGAATTAGGAAAAGAAATAGCTGGGTAAGATTTCAATATTTTAGAACTTTAAAAATATTTATTAACTATAATTTCAATATATTTATTGCAACTGAGATACAAATTTGACCTATATCTGAATTTTTATAACTAAAGAAATTATTTTATTTTAAATTTTTTTCAGTCACAGCAAAATCTGAAACTTTTTTTGAATATCTAAATATCACACTTATTCTTTAATGATTTTGAAAACAATAATGGCAATGCCTTTGGCATATGATGTCAGCTGCACTCTTCATTATCTACTTTGAATTTTTACTTCTGAAGATATTTTTGTTTGTATTTGGTAATCTTCCTCTTGGTAGTGTGCATATCTGCTATCCTTTAATATCTAAAAATCTGTCTTTGTTATTTTTAAACACCATCAAAAATCATCTTGATTAACTTTTAGTCTCTTTGATTTTTTTTAGTTTTAAAATATATTATGGATATTTACTTATTTTCTACTGGTACCTCCCATACATATGTGAGGTACATATATATCACTAAACTTCTGTTGTTTTTGATACACACACACACACACACACACACACGTGCATATATACACGTATTATATGTACATACATATATGTTACAATACAAAATATGTATGACCTAGAGAAGAGTAAAATGAGTAATTGTGTTTCTGCCACCCAGATTAAAAATAAAATTTTCCTCAGTGCCTTTGAAGCCCCCAATATGGCTGCTTTTCTATTTGCTGAGAGCTTTAATTTGTTCTCTGATTCCAATTAATATTTTTCTCTCATTGTCTTTTTCTGCATGGTTTTGGATGCCTTTCACTTTGTTAGCACTGTGCTAGCAAAGATCTTTAGATCTCTTCCTACAACTGTCGTTAAGTCTTCACATGATCTTTCTTCTCATTTCCTTTCTTCTAAAACTATGCCTGTTTCCTTTTCCCTCCTCAACTCAGACTGCTTTTCTTTCTATTTTTCTACTGTGAATAATCTTCATGACAATTTGTGTTTATTTGTTCTTTTCTTCCTATAGACAGTGGTCAAAAGGTATCAAAAATGTATTTTTATATCTTATGCAAACATACATATATAAATATGCTTTTCCCCTTTGATGCTGATCTCTGAGTGAAAACTCATATTTAATAACAGGTTAGTGTTTCATATTAACATATTATGTTGGTGCAAAAGTAATCATGGTTCAGAAACCATGATTACTTTTTGCCCAACCAAATTCTAAAATAAATATTAATAGCTTATTTATAAAATCTCCATATATGATTATAATATCAATCCTTTGTCACGTAAGTTGTAAAATTTTCTTCATATTACTTACATAAAGTTAAATTTTGTTAGAATATTCTCAAACTATGTTACGTTAAAAAGTGAGAGAGGATCATAATTTATTGATTTGTTTCTTTGTAGGTTAGAACATGTTTAAGAAATTATTAAATATTAGTCTGAAACATTTTGACTTAGTCATTTTGTACATTCCTGCAGATATAAGAAGCTTCTAGAAATTACAGAAAAGAAGTTAAAGGAATATTAAAACAGAAAGCTTAATTTCCATGGAGATTTCAAAACCAGTCTACTTGAAATGGATATTGAGATGAATAAGCTAACATATAAAGTACTTTTTAACCAGTTTTGGAACCAAAAAAAGTCCCCATATACTTTGTGGAAATAAAAATCTGTCGGCGCTTTGAGCAGTGGAAGAGATATTTTTTTAATTTTATGGACTTGATTCTAATGGAAAGAATGCCTTTTTAATATATTCTTTTTCTATAAGATGGGCAAGCTGCTCATTCTATGTCTTGAACCCTGGTCAATGATATAAAAGCAAGCAGTACACCATCCTAATGATGACTTCAAGTCACTAGTATCTAATTGATTTTCTGGGTAACAATTTTATTGAGATATAATTAACATACCATGCAATTCACTCTTTGAAAGTGCATAATTCAGTGGCTTTTAGTACTTTCACAGAGTTAAACAATCATCACCACCATCTATTCTAGAATATTTTCATCCCTCTAAAAAGAAATTCTGCATATTCTGCATTCTTTGTCACCCACCAGTTTCCCATTCGTTCCTCAGTTCTAGGGAACCACTCATCTACTTTGTTTGCATATATTTGCCTGTTCTGGATGCTTCATCTTGTTCAAATCACAGTATGTGGCCTTTTGTGACTGGATTCTTTCACTCAGCTTAACGTTTTCAAGGTCCTCTGTTGTAGCAAGTATCGGCACTTAATTTCTTCTTATTGCTGAGTATATTTCATTGTCTGGATATATCAAACATTTTATTTACCCACTCATCAGTGGATAAATCTTTAGGTTGTTTCCATTTTGGGCTATTATTAATAATACTGCCATGAACTTTTATGTATAAGTTTTTGTGTTTGCATATGTTTTCATGTCTTTTGGGTGTATACTTATGAATGGAATTGCTGAGTCATATGGTAAGTCTATGTTTAACTTTTAGAGGAAATGCCAGTACATTTTCCAAAGCAGCTATATCATTTTTCATTAGCAGTGTATGAGGGTTCTAATTTCTCCACAGTTTTACCAGGAAAGATTCCATCCTAGTGGTGGGAAGTGGCACCTCTCTGTGGTTTTGATTTGCATTCCCTAATGACTAATAATTTTAAGCATGTTTTAATGTGCATCTTAGCCATGTGTATGTCTGCTTTGGAGACATGTCTATTTCCATCCTTTCCCCATTTTCTAATTGGGTCATCTTTTTCTTTCTGAATGGTAAGTGTTCTTTATATATCTTAGATACAAATATTCTATCACAAATACAGTTTTCAAATATTTTCTCCTACTCAGTGACTTGTCTTTTTACTTTATTGATAGTGTATTTTCAAGCACAGCAGTTTTAAATTCGAATGTTAATCCGCATTTTGAGTTGTTATATCTAAGAAACTGCTGCCAAATGTAGTCACAAAGATTTATTCCTGTCTTTTCTTTAAAGAAACTTATAGTTTTAGGTCTTAAATTTAGCTCTTTTATTTTGAGATAATTTTTAAATACAGCATTTGGTGGGACTCCAACTTTATTCTTTTGCATATGGAGATTCACTTGTCCTAGAACCACTTGTTGAAAATACTATTCTTTTCCCATGTATTTTGTTATCCTTGTTAAAAATCAATTGACCATACATGCACAGGTCTATTTTTGGATTCTAAATTCGAAAATATTGATCTCTCTATTCTTATGCCAGTACCAAATCAACTTATATGAGAACTCTTTTTCAATCATGTTGCATATTACCAGTTGTATATTATCATACATAATAAAAGTTCACTATAGAGAAACATCTTTACTTTTTGTTTCTTGAAAGAGCCCATGGCCAGCTTATGCATTGCTGACTCCATGACATGATGGCAAGTCAAGCTTACAAAGACAAGAGTCCATTCCTTTTTTCTGTATGCAAACCTTTAGACTGTCATTGAATGCCTCTCTCTTGAGTCCTATTTCCATCAAATCTTGGTCACGTCATCTTCTGACAGTCTACTATTTCATACATTATGTTTTATTAACTCATTAACTCGTTGTAATTTTACAATCATCTGTAGATGTTTTCCATCCTGGGAGGAGAAGAGTCAGTCCAGGCTGTAAGCTTTTCTCATTGGAAATTGAGCTAATTCAACATCTTGCAGCTCACAGGAAGATTCTCTTGACCTGGCACCTGATTCTTATGTATAACACCTGGGATGATCTTTTCTTGATACAGTTCCAGCATTCTCAGAAATCACAATTCTCTGCAATTACCTCTCTCTGCTTAAACAGATCAAGATGCACAGCTATATTTTATAGCTTCATACACATTTTTTAGAATAAATACTTTATCCTATTCAAAGAAAAAGTTTCAGAAGTGTAGCACTAAAATATCAGTTTATGTTCAGGCAATTTGTTAGAGACAAATAATAGTGAAATTAGTTGTCTGAATTTCAAAATGTCAGAGCTAATATTTTTGTATGATATGAAGAGGCATTTTGGTACAACATAAAGATAAAAATGGCCTTAACTTCTTCACATAGACAAACCTGAAGTATAGTGAAGGAGAAATTGTGTTTAATTTATTAACATTCAAAACTATATTTATTTTATTGTTGAGATGATTAAAAACAATTCTGTAATGTTCTTTATTTTCTCATTGAGGAAAGGAAAATGAATATTGAATGCCAGATTGATTAATAAATACTCAATGCTGCTTAGCTTTTTTAAGATTTTACTTCCGTGAAATCAGATAATGTCTGATTTTGATTGTTAAAACAAATATTGTTAATTCTCCAGCTCTTGCACTTCAAAACTTGCCTCTTTGCTTCCCAGTCTTACTGATCTCCTAACTTGAGGGGAAATTCTATAGAAGCACACTTGCCTAGTAATAAGAATTTTTAATTAAAGGGAATTTTAGGAAATCTTTCTCCTCCGTAGCTGTTATGTCTGTCTCTCTTCTAATTTTCTACTGCTTCTCATTAGCGTTCTTTATCATGAATAAATTAACATCAACCTTTATTATATCATACTTTAAAGGTGACTAATTTCTACTGTGTAAGTTACATTTGCTATTGTCATTTTTTAAATCAAATTTTCATTTTATCATTTGCTAAAAATCTCCCACAATTTAATGGGTTGAAACAACAGTGTTTGTTTTATTAATCTGCCATTTGGGAAAAGCTTGGCCAGGACAGCTTGTCACTGTTCCTCTTAACTTCTCTGGGGACAGCTCAAAGACTGGGAAACTACAGTCATCTGAAGGTTTGCTCAGCTATCTCTCTTGTTGTTAATACTAGCCATTGCCTGGAATGTTAGCTGTGGCAGGCAGCCAGATCACCTACATTGGAGTTTCTTGACATTCATAAATGGAACTTGCTTTGAATAAATGGAATGTGGTAAAAGTTACACCATGAAATTTGCAACATTAGCTTAGAAAAGGCTCTCTATCTCAAACTGCTTGCCCTTGGTACCTCCTTCCCTTGTTTTGAGAGAGGATGGTCAGGCTAGATTCTATTCATTAACAGTAAGT